TTACCTGGGGTTAAGTACTGAATCAGGATTTAAGATCTCTAGAAGATTGTAATCTAATAGCAGGAATCAGCAGCTGATAGGCCAGATCCTCAGCTCAGCTGTTTGTGGTTTATATAAAGATGAGGAAAACGGGGACTGGAAAATCATTGTTTTGTTTTCCTGCACATGGTTACTCTGTGAAGCCACCACGCTGCAGTGAACCTCACCCCGTCAGACTCCCCATCTCTTTGCCTAAAGGATCAGCTCCAGCTGAGTCTGCATGGCCACCAAGTGCTTCCCTAAAGCTTCTTGGTGCTCTGGAAATGCAGGCTAATTTTCTGAAATAGTAGCAAATCTAAGCTTTTTATCCTCATCCATCCTAGTCAATCCAGCCTGAAGAATATCAGGTGCCCAGACTCTGGCAGCAGCATTAGGGTTTGACAGTGATCTGGGGGTGATGGGTCTGGGGGACTCAGGTCCTTCTGGAGGTTTCCCCGGATGAAACAACAGTCTGGATACATCCAGATCTGCACAGGGGCCCCTGTGCCACACTCCTCCTCTGGCTGGAAGGCTGCCAGGGCGGCTGTTTGCCCAAGCCACGTCACAGTCCCACCTCGGCTGTCCTGTTTTCTCAGTGCACCTGCTAATTCCTGGCAGTGGCGGGCGAGATTAAACGGGGAGAGGTGCAGAGGAACCCACACCCACAGTGCACACAGGCAGGGACAGCCACCCCTGGGGATTGTCACCTCCCCGCTGACCTGTGCCCAGCGAGGTGCAGATTAACCTCCCGAGAGGGGACAGCAGCTCTTTTACTCCAAGACAGGAGTTTTTCACCCGCAGAAGTCTGGAATAACTCCCCTCCCTGAGGGTTGGAAAGATGTAATTCTCCCAAACATAATTCTGGAAAACATGTTGCTGTACATCCCTCTGCAAAACCATCAGGAGCAGCCAGAGCTCGCACAGACAGACCGAGGGAGGTCTGGCATGGTACAACAGTACAATCAGTATTGTTACGTCCCATCATTGTAACAATGGAGTTACATTTACTGAGGTATTTCTCCTGGCTAGCAGAGACTTAGACTCCTAAAGTATCTATAACCCATCTCTGATGGTGGGAGGCACAAGTCTGAGACTGACCAGAAGCCCTGGTGTCTCCTGCTGTTGTGCTGCAAGGTGTCATCATTTCTGGACCTCCCTCCTTTTCTTTCACAAGAGGGTCCTTTTCCCCATAAGCCTGAGGAAACACCAGCCCCATATTCCCAAAGCACAACCCAGAATAGCTGGATAAAATGGAGTTTGCACTAATGTTGATAGGCAATAAATTGGAGCAACAGCTACAGGTTTGATCAGCCCCAGTGTTGTAACCCCTGTGGACAGAGTGCTCCTGCCTTATCCTGCTGCGAGCTGTTGGCTCTGGGAAGGTACCAACAGGTGGGAAGAGCTCTCTAGAGCTCTCACCAAAGCTCTTCCTGCCCAAAATCAGTGTTTACCCTCGTGTCCTTGGCTTGCCAAGGCCACCCCTTTCTGCAGAACTGGGGCCTGTCCTGCCCCTGCCTCCACAGGATCCGCCATTCCCAGGTCTCCGTGTGCAGCGATGCCCCAGAGCTGTGCTGGGAGGGCTTGTTGGAAGGACCGAGGCCTCTCTGTGTGCTGTGAGCCATCGAGTGGCATGAGCTGACCAGAGCAGGATGCAGTGACTCCTTATGGCTCAGGATGGCTGTGCCTGTGACAGAGCACGGCCGTGCACTGCGGCACTGTGACACAGCAGCGCTCCTCACCCGAATGCCCAGGCACCTTCTCCTGTCCCAAGACATTTCCATTTGCTGCTGTTAACCATTAACCAGCACTCTGTTACCTGTCAGGGGCAGCTCTGTGCTGCCTGGTCAGCTGGTGCCCACAGAGCTCTGTCCTACAAAACCATTCCCACACAAGGTCCCCACCTCCACCAGACTGAGCCCGCCAGGCCAAAGAGCAAAGCTGTGTTCACTTCCCTGCATCAAACCACCCCTTTGCAGGCAGCTGGGCCAAACCCTGAGGTTGGTTTTTGCTCAGTCCCTTGTGGCTGCTGTTCATCCCTGCCTTGCTCACGGGTTAGTTGCTGTGGCTGCCTGAGATGTACTTCTCGAGGGGTCCTTTGCTTCATCAAGTTGTAAGTTCAAACAGGTGAGGTCCTCACATTGTAGAATAGAATCATTTAGGTTGGAAAAAGACCTATAAGATCAAGTCCAGCCGTCAACCCAGTGCTGCCAAGGCCACCACTAAACCATGTCCCTAAATGTCCTATCTACACGTCTTTTAAATCCCTCCAGGGATGGTGACTCCAGTGCTTCCCTGGGCAGCCTGCTCCAATACCTGACAACCCTTTTGGTTAAGAAACTTTTCCTAATATCCAATCTAAACCTCCCCTGGCACAACTTGAGGCCATTTCCTCCCATTTTATCACTTGATACGTGGGAGAAGAAACCAACTCCCACCTGGCTACAACTTCCTTTCAGGTAGCTGGAGAGAACAAGGAGGTTTTCCCTGAGAGATGATCTTACAGCTGACATACATGCTCTTGTATTGCTTTCTCATCCTTTTCCCCACACCCAGGAGCACAGCAGGTGAGGGAGCACTAAGTTATAACCCAATCCTCCTCTCAGTAGGTAGACCTGTGAGAGGCACTATGTAGATTTTCATCTGGACATAATGATTTTGTAGGGCAGAGAAGTGCCTGAGCAAGGCTACGTGAGGGATGGGCAGTAAAATGTCACATGCTTTGGTTGTGGGTCAAGGAAAGCTCTCCTGTAAACTTCTCAGAAATTCATGCAATGCTTTGGCCATTACAGGTCAGGACATTCAACCTCATATAAGTAGCAAAGGGTATTTTCACTAGCTGCTCAAGCACCTTGTGGGGTTTTTTTTGCCTCCTTCCCTTGCTTTTCCAAAGCATGAGGCCCCTGCTGTGTTATCTCATCTGCAGGGTTTGGCCCTTCCCTCTTCCTCCCGGAGCTCCATACCCAAAAGCGGGGTGGAAATACCTTTGCAACGTGTCATTTTGCAAATACATCCTTGGCAGAGCCTGTTTCCCCATGCACAATGTTCACCTTGTCCACAGGCACGCGGGATGGTCAAGGCTGAGGCAGATGTGGGCCATCACACTGCCAAATCTTGAGTTTGCACTTCTGGACTCTTCCTCCCAGCAGATTCTGGTTTTACCCCAGTGTGGACCTGTGACAATGTCTTCAGTGTTTTGGGCTCGCACTGGGACACTGAAAACAGCCTCATCTGACATCTGTATGCATGAAAAAAATATTAAACCATAAGGCCTTTGAGCTCTGGGAATACCAGGTCAAGGCTTAGGTCCAGGATACAAGAGCACCAAGTTGTGCACATGGGAAGAACAGCTGGACAGGAACATCTCAGATCATGTTTCAGTTATGAAAGTCAGGCTATTCTGTTTTCCACCAGTACTGAGTTAAACTGCTTGGAAATAATGTTTTCTGCTCTATAACCTCATGGCATGACCAGAATTAGCAGGAAGCAAAAGTGCCTACAGCTCAGCACCAAATGAGCCTGTGTTTTATGACAAACATCTTTTCCCTCGGCATTGACTGTTCTAAACTGCTTTATATATATCTCTGCAGTTTTGGTCTCCTTAAAAACTCACCAGGATTTATTTACTACTTTTTCACTGTGCTGATGGAAAGGAGTGGGGACAGGCAGCTCAAGCATCACCTCTGCATGGGCCTGAAGTGCATCACCCAAACTGTGGGGAAAGGAATGGCAGGCTTCACCCCAGAGCTCAAATTCGTGTAGCCACCACCATGGATTGGTGGGTTGCTCTACAACAGCATACATCAGCACCAAAAAGGACCCAGACACACAGCAGTTATTAACTAAACTCTTGGTGCTGGGGATAAATAGTTTAGGTGGCTAAAAAAGAACCAGAGCACAGTGGAGCTTGGTGCTGATCCTTGGAGATATCCTCACTCCATCTTCCAACGCCTCCCACCAGAGCTGTTGGTGTGTGACTCTCACCACTGGGCCAGCAGTGGGCTTGGGGTGGCCTCCAAAGATAAAAGCAAACCCTGTTGCAGGGCCCCATCTTCTGTGGACTGGAGGAAGACACTCAGGCAAAACGAAAAGAATGAAAAATGAAAGGTGAAGGCTGTTACGGGTTTTATGAGCTGTAGCCTGCAGACATTAAGGGAGAAATCACTTGCTAAGAGGCAGTTTTGCATCTTTAACCACGAATTAAGATCTCTGCAGTGTTCCTCTCAGATATGGGCACACCCAGGCTGAATAAGCAGGTCCAAGGCCCGCCCTGTGGTTGGTGGCAAACCGGTCTGTAGTTAATGTCACCGGTATTTTGGGCATTCTTCCCAATACAGGTCCCACAGGTATAAGAGTGGTCAGTGCACGAGGTCTGTGGAAACTGCGGTTTAAACCTGTTCAGACACCTGGTTTAGCTGGTGAGGTGACTCATATTTATTTTCAGATCGTGTGGGTTAATCTAGAAAATTAGGGAAGTGACAAGAGAAGCTTGATGTGCAGTAAGGAAAGGACTTGGACTGTTCCCAGTCCTGAGAGGTCACGTAGTCTCCATTCTTGGAGACATTCAAAACACAGATGGACACAGTCCCAGGCCCCCCGAAGGCAGAGCTGATGTCTGGTGACAGGGTACCAAGTGGTGCCTCCTCTCCTCTCCAGAAGGGGATGTTCCCTCCATCAGCAGTGAGCAGCACCACGGATATGCCAGGCAGGAACAGCAGGGAATGACAGGACATAGTTTATCTTCAGGTCACACACAGCCAGTGGCATCAGGGCAGCTTCCAGTGGCTGCGTATTACAGCCACCCTTCACAGGTAACTTTTTCTCAGCAGTGAGCTACAAGTATCCACAGACACAGCTTCCTGCTGCCAAAGGTGGCCCTGGCAAACACTGCTGGGACTGTCTGGTTTATCATTACTTTTCTCCTGGGAGGGCAGCCCGGTTAAACACTCCAATGCTCTGTTACATTCCCATTTCAGTCACTAATCTTGACGGCACTCAAGCCCCTGAATGCACCCAGGGCTCCAGACTGCAAGCACAAGGAAACCCAGCTCGGCCTTGCAGGGAGCTGAGGAGCAGGAACCTTCCCTGAGCACTTTCCCCCTCGGAACAGCTTTGCCAAAATTTGGGACAGTCGGAGCCAGAGACTGGAGCTGGAACTCTTAGTCCCAAGAGTTACGGTGGCACTGAGTAGCACCGCACCTTGCTTTGTCCATCAGAGACTGAGAAAAGAAGGGGGGGGGAATTCCTCCTGTGCCCTTTTAAATCTGGACAAAACAGGTTTTTAATGAAAGCAGCACTGAATCATTACTGCCCTGTGAATTCAGAGCTGGTGGATATTTGATGCAAACAGAGAGTTGGTTGAAACTCTCCCGTACCGGCTCCCTCTTTGTCCCCCCTTGAGCCTGGGAATGGGTGTGATCTCCGAGTAGGAGTGTCTCTGCGGTTAAGTAGAGGATTGAATTACCGAACACTGCTGTTCCCGAGCTGACAAGGTAGCAGAGCAGCGAACAAAAAGTGCCTTGAAACTAGGCAAAGAGGAGAGAAGGCGCTGGGTTTGGTGGAGAAGGGAGACCTGTGAGGACACTGTGCACTTTCCAGCAAGGTAAGCAGCCTCCCTGCACCCCCGTCAGTTTTGGTAAGGCCAGAACTGTTTAATGACTTTTGTTCAGTGAGATAGTAGGAAAAAAAAAAAAAAAAAAAAGAAGTAATACGTTTCATATTTTTTAAAAAATATCTCCCCTGGTGTAAGCCAGGATGTCTCTACTGAAACGAGCCCACGCTGATTTACATCGTTTGGGGTTGGAACGAGCAGCTTGCCAAGCTTGCCAAGAACCCATCCAGGCTCCATATCAGCTCTGAGGACACATGCTTTTCGTTTAGCTCTCTGCACAGACCAGCTTTGATTTCGTGCAAGGACCAATTAACGGCATTGTTTTGGGCCTGGATTGTTTTATGCTTTGCTGCCGTGGGGATTTGCTGGAAGCTCGTCTGCCTTTCCGGCACAGTTTTGGGTCCAGGCAGCCACAGAAAGTCTTTGCAAGTTCTCATCGATAGGTTTTATTGTCATCTAATCAGTAGATTACTAATGGCTGAGCCACTGGGCTGCTTTGCTCTGTAAATGGAGTGTTTTCTCGTCCTGCTGGTTTGAGATGCAAGTTGCACTGAGATAAAATTGAGTTGTAGTGGAGTTGAGCTGCAGGCTTTACTTGCCAGTATTTTTCTTAGGCGTGCCTATTAGAAACATAAATATTTAACACAAAGGAGAGCTGATATGAATTAGCATCGGTGGGAGGCTCACGCTCATTCGAGGCTGCCCTAGCACAGATGTAAACAAGTGTTACGGCAGCCGAAGCAAACTGGCCCCGCCAGAGCAGCACTTAGAGGGTGAATCATCCAGGTGCTCTTTACACACCGCAGCTAAAAGGGCGGATTAGAGCCTGCAGAGTAGAGATTAGACACTCACAGGGCATTGGCCTTCCTCTTCTGCGGGTTTCACCGTTCCCCCGAGGTGCCAGGTGGGAGGCAATGCCAGGACAGACAGGAGCCAGAGTGGTGCAGATCAGAACAACCCCAAATGCCCTCCCTCACCTTCCTCCTGGCACAGCCAGGTGAGCCTCCCCTCCTCTTCCTCCTCCCTGCACAAACAGGATGCCTTTATCCTCCTCCAGCTCCCTTTCCACCAGCAAACACATGGGTCTCATGATGTTATTTCCAAGGCAGGACTTTGTGTCAGCAGTTGCCAAGTTCTCCCAGCTGGGAGCAAAGGTTTTGTGCCATGGCTGCAAGTGATGTCACCCTGGTCTCCTGCCTCCTCCTGCTATCTTGGGACTCCTCATTAGGTTGAGTCAATAAATCCCTGCTCTTTCATAGCCAGGGATGCTGAAGATGTTCATGGTGCCTCTTGGCCTTTTCCATGAAGCTGTTTTTCTGGACTTTGAGCCTGGAGGTTGTTATCTTTTCTATGGGCCCCCCTGGGGAGATGCGGGATGTGTGACATGGAAGAGATGCACTGTGGGCTCTGTGACCTCAGGCTGGATCTGTCCTGCAGCCTGGTCCTCCAGAACCACCCATCCTGTGCTCGTTCCATCCCCAGCTGAGGAGGAGATCAGCTCAGACACCTGCCCCATGCTTGGAAGATGCTGGGGCTCAGCTCTGTGCTGGGAGCATCTCATTTGACCACAAGCCTTTCCTCAGTTTTAATAGAGCTTAATACAAGGTGGCCCACTTGGAAGCAGAGCCCTGAAATGCCCTGTGCAGTGAAGGGAGCTCAGGGCACAGCCAAAGCCTTGGTGCCACCCTGGTGCCTCCTGCCCCAGCTGCATTTTTGCCATCCTTGACCATCCTTTGCCACCACTGACCTTCCTCAAAGTCCCTCCTTTGTCGCAGGGAATGGGCTCTTTTGCAGCCTTCTGAAATTTGCTCTGGAACAACAAACCCACAGATTGGGCTTTCCATATATGAAAAGTCCACCTTCACAAGGAAGGACTCCAGTGTGGACACACCCAAAATATCTTGGCTCCAGCTCTCTGTTTATTCATGTATATTCTTTAGCTTCTGTTGACCCCTCAGAGAAAATAATCATTCAGTCACAAGGGGATACACTCTCCCACAACTCACTAAAACCTCGCTCTTCCTGAGCTCTCTCTCCATATAATACAGCCCTGGAAATGAGCGTAATTGTGGTTTATCTTGGATGATTATACATTTCTACTGTATTTCCACCCATTCTGGATGTAAGAGGAATGCAAAAAGGGGTGAATATTGTCGCTAAGTCTCTGGTATCCTTCAGTCTGAGAAGTCCTGTGCAATGTAATGTTAATTTCCAGCGTTGGATGATGTGCATCCGATTCAGCTGCCTTGATTTCCAGGGGCCTCTGCTTGAAACAGAAACCCTGCCATTTTTTATCCATCTTTATCTGAGCCTATTCAGGCTTATCTGAGGCAGTGCTGGGTAGAGTAACAGTGGAACTTGTTATTACCTTATATCCACGTCAAAGACGTGAGGCGTGGGGGATGCTAAATTGTATGGTTGAGCTCCATCCTGGGCAGTTCCCTCTGGAATGAGCTATTCAGAGCAGTCGACCTCTTCTACCTAAAAATGTCCTGTTGCCATGCCCTGGCATTAAAGAATAGGTTTGTGTCTGGCCCTTTATTTAAAACTGCTCTTACAGAAACAGCTGAACAGGGTAAGACACAGGCAGTGCTAGAAAACATGTTCTTTTTTGGGTTATAGGGACTACCTAGATACCCACCTTCCCTTTGGGAGTGTGCTAGAGCCTGAATTACTGTACTTTGTTGCTATGGAATATCTGTCTGGATATGAGCTGATCCCACCCATCCCAGTGTTTCAGATGCCTGGTTCCCTTCCCGGTGCTCAGACACAACTTCCATTGGCAGCTCTGGGTGCAAGAGTCAGTCCTGGAGGAATGACTATTTCTGAGGCTGTTTGCAGTACTTCCAGGGATGTTTTATTCATTTGGCTTTGTGCAGGTGACACGCTGCTCTCTCTGCTTTCATTTCCTCACGCTGGCTGTCATTTCTGCCCAGAGGGAATTGCACACCCTTCCCATGCCCACATGCTGTGATCCTGTGTGGACTTGGTTTCACTTTGTATGCCAGGCGAGTGGCAGATGCACATCTTGTGAGTGAGGCTCAATGATCCTTGTGGGTCTTTCAAACTCAGGATAATCTATGATCTATAATCTATGACTGTCAGATCTCCATGGGCTGGGACTTTGCTGCAGGAGCCCCAGAGCTGGGCAGCACAGGGTTTAGCTCACAAACTGGTGATGTACCAACACCACCCATCACACAGCACATGATACCACAGGGGCAAAGTTACACCTCCTTATTGCCCCATGTCCCTCTTCCCATCATTCCCAGTCATCCACCCCACCTCCATTTGCCCCATTGTTTCCCTGGATCCTTTTCCTGCCACAACAGAGAAGAACCACTGAAAACCATCTTGGGAAGGATGGTGCTCCTCAAGGAGCAGTCACTTAGAGTGAGGAGAGGCAGGTGGAGGCTGAGTGGCACCCCCAAAATCACAGGAAGACCAAGAGCGACCTCACAGCCCATCCTGGATTGGAAGGGCTGGATGAAACAGTGATAAACACACCATGTGCATGGTGCTGAACACAGGCCTAGAGGATAACACCAGTGGGGGTGACTGCTACCAAAAAGACATGTGGTGCTGGTGTTCCATTGAGAGGAGATCCCGTGAAGGGCTGGCTCTGCTCCCATGACCCTAAAGGTCATTTAAAGCAACTCATATCTTGGCTCAGCACCCTGTCCCAGTGGAAGCTTGGGTTGAGTTGGTTGGTCCCCACTTGTCTTGACACCAGTCAGGTGTCTTTCATCACAGGTGTGTCAGCCAACATACACAAAGGGTGAGTGGTCCTTTGCAGCTCAAGAAACAAACCTTCTCCCTAAAAAAATCCTTTACATCTCACCCAGCCAGCAATGGAAATGCAGAGTTGCCTATGGAGAACCCTGCTTAGGTCCAGGTCATTTCGTTTGCAATCCAGAATGGAAACCTGCTTGCTTTTTTTTTTTTTTTTTTCCAAAAGTCTTGGTTTTCTCTTCCCAAGTTTTATGTCCCGCCTGCAGGTCTGAACTGGAACAAAAGTGAAACAGTCCCTTCCTTTCGGTAGTTAATATTAATTTTGCTGCTTTCCACTGGAAAGCCAATGTTCTGGAGAGTAGTTCTCTGGCTGGTCTGAGGGGAGCCAGAGCTGCACCCCTGCTCCATCACCATCAAACAAAGGTCCTGAGAGAAAGGGCTTATTCAACTGCACTCATTAAACTGTGCAACAGGAAAAGCTGTTCTTTATCTTGCACACATACACCTGTGCACATATATACATGTGTGAATTCTTACAATAAATAGGAAAGTGTTATGTGCAGCAGCAAAAATTGTAACTCTTGGACTTGTTTTTTGAGAAGGATAGGCCAGGTGGGCACTGGTACTTGGGTTTAATTGAGGTTTTATTTAAGGTATTTGTCTCAGTTCACACTGACAGATCTGTCAAGCAGAATCTCGGGGCACAGTGGGTGGGACTGAGCCCCCACACTCTGAGAGAGCTGGAGGGCAGCATGGCCAGCTGGGCTCTCCATCCAGAGTTTCCCTCATGGACCAAGGGGACAGTGAGTCCCTCCTGACCCAGAGTCACTGGATCTGCCCTAGACCAACCATCAGGATGAGGGAAACCACCCAGAGGCAGTCCTCCTCAGAATAAAGCACCTGAAACTGGGTTGGATGAATCCCAGCCTCTAACCCCCCTCTCCTGCCCCTCCTCCAGGCTCTTTTAAATCTGCAGAGGAAGCAGTGGCCTTTCCTCAGTTTCAGCTGAGAAAATGCCTTCATTTGAGAGTTTCACCTCAACTTCCAGCTGTCACATACTTTCTGTGAGCTTTTGAAGTGCAGGTGCTCCCCAGGGCTCAGGAAGGCCTTGCACAGGTGAACAAACACACATTCTCTCCTCCCTGATGTCTCAGCTCTGGTTTTCCTTACCTGCAGCCATGAGGTTAAATAATGCTCCGTTAAAATGCTGATGTGGGAGAGGATCCTAACTTTTTTTCTTGGAAGTGGTGGGTAATTAG